AAAAGAAAAAAAAAAAAAATTAGGCTCCTGTCTTTAATTAATTAAATAATTATTTATATATTTATTTAATCACATATAAAAATTATATAAAACAATTATAAAAAAAATTTATTTCTGCACCACTGGCTTATTAATAAAACTAGTATGATACCGCAATTTCATCCTTTGATTAGGCTTTGTCTTTAACAGCAATTAAAAGAAAAAAAAAAAAAATTAGGCTCCTGTCTTTAACTGCATTTCTTCAACAGTGTCGTCCCCTTCGATTCCATCAGAATAATGACATACCCTAACAGATATCGAATTCTTCCAGACCAAATTTCTGCGAAAGATATCCCACACACGACCCCAGAGATGAACCCCATCGCAACAACAAACCAGAACCACCACTCCAATTCCTCCTCCTCAGAAGTATCCTCCGAAGCTACACAAGCCTGCAACGGGTGTCCGCACAGCCCCGAATTGTTCTCGAATCTAGATGCCGGAAATAACAAGAGCTGCCTCGTCCGTGGTATTGGGCCGCTGAGACTGTTGTTTGAAAGATCCATGTCAATAAGCCGAGGCAACGACGCCAACGACAGCGGAATTTGGCCGTCGAGATGGTTGTGAGACAGGTAGACAACTTCCAGCACTGTAAGATTTCTGAACACGTCGGGGATAGTTCCCGTTAGATTGTTGTATCCGAGATTGAGGTAGGACAAGGAGTGCATGTAACCCAGGCTATGGGGGATCGATCCGGACAGGAAATTGGAAGATAGATCCAGGTATACAAGGCTGCCCTGGGGCTTTGGTGTCTGAACAACAGAGACGCTGATGAAACTCACCGACAAACAAGTGTTCGGATCCAGGAATCTCACCAGGTTTTCTGGTCGGATTCCCTTGAAATATAGTAATTTTACAGATATTCTGCCATATTTTCCGCACTTATTTTCTTCAGCTTCTTTCTTCTCTCCAGTGTACCTAACTCTGAGACTTTGGTATCTGGGATTTGCAAGTTCTGTTGGGATTTTACCGGTAAATTGATTGCTTCTTAAATTGAGCCATATAAGGCTACTGCAATTGCCAAGCTCTTGTGGGATAGCTCCGGTGAGGGAGTTGTTACTCAGCTGCAGAATGCTGAGTTTTTGGAGGTTCTGGATGTTGGCTGGGATTTCCCCCTGTAGCTGATTATCACAGAGGGATAACCAAGTGAGATTGGTGCAATTTGTGAGTGATTCTGGAAATGCTCCGGAGAATTGATTGTTGTTGAGAATAAGTCTCTGCAGATTGCCTCCATTTAAGCATATGCCTTTTGGGATTTCACCGGAGAAGTTGTTTCCCCACATGATCAAGTCGGAGAGTTTTGGTAGCATCCATACTTCCAATGGAATGGATCCACTTAGATTGTTCAGACTAAGATT